CTTTCGTTCTTCTTCTTCTTCGCTCTTTTCTTCTTTTAGACAGCAAGAGCTTGATATAGCCGACAAGAAGTCGTATCAGGAGATTTTGGGACATTTTGTAACTCCCATATACCCCCCTTTGGAAGCAATTGCTAACACTGGATATTCAAGGAGGAACACCGGCAACTTTTCATGGATATCTCACGATCAACTGGTTCCGATTATGGGCTCTGCGGGATCCGTTCACGCCGCCTCTGCCCGATCCAACCAGTCATCCATCAGCTGGTGTGTTAAAGAAAAGCCCACTTCCTCATCGCCGTGGTCCAAGACCGACAGTGGCTGGTATAGCGCCCCAGCGCCAGGTTGACCAGCAGGGGTCCGAGGAATGCTACATGGCACTGCGCAAGGTGTTGGAGAGCCATGGCAATAAGCATAAAGACGACATTGGGCTGGGGACATCCTGCTTCGAGAAACACGGTCTGGGACTTTTTGCTCGCCATCCTGTCAACAATACGTGCATGGGCGAAATTTGTCACGTCCACAGTTCGGACCACTCGATGCATATGAATCTGCACCCAGACGACGTTCGGGAAGTGCTCGCCAAAGGTTGGGGACAGAGACACCCGCTTGCTTGGAAAGGCCGTTGGTTCCGGATGCCCGTGCCAAGGCAGTTCGTCATGGTGTACGCCCCACGGACCATGGACGAGGTTCGAATCGTCTGTCGGATCATCGAGGCTGCTGGATGGTGGGTCATGGCCAAGGAGCAGATGATTGATACTCTGGATACCAATGCATCATCTTTTTAGATGCAGAGTACCTTCCCAATTCTCTTTGATCACTCGGAAGGTGCCTTTCGCACAATTTGATACCATGTTTTCTGGCATGCGGGCTAAAAAAGAACACCAATCTGTAGCACAACTCCCATCCACCACCACCACAACAACAACCTCATCACGACAATTATATCACGACAATGCCGTCCAGCTCGCCAAAAAGAGCGACGTTGGCCTGATTCGAACAGACGCTTCCGAAGAAACAAGATAGGATGATATAGGATCAATTCTAGTCTTGCGCATTAGACCACTCTGCCACAACGCCTTATTTGTTGAGATTTGTGGTGCTTAATAGCATACTTATTGATAGAAAGTGTGGTCGGCGACTATATTGCTAAAGTGGACTGGTCGTGGATAGCGTCTTTTCGTTTCTCTCGTGGATATTGTTATAACGGTAGGTTCCGGGTGGATCCTCAATATGGAGCAGGGTAGCGCAAATGAAAGAAAGCATTGTGTGTGTATATATGAGCAGACGTAGTCGGCCAATGACCATGTGACATCTCTCTTTATACTCGGATGTTGTCCATATTCGCAGTGTCAAGTTGCCTAGGTCCGAAAGGTCGGTATCTTTCCGAACTCATACAGTGCCCGAGCTCCTGGACATGAATCATGATCATGCCAAGCTCAGCAAGAACGGCAGGTCATCGAATTAAGAATAGAAGATGCCCAGAAGTTCCGTTGTTGATGTTGTGGTATCATTATATTCGCACCTATGCGTTGATATTTGTCTGTACAGTGGCATGGGCAGATCCTGCCTGGACCAAATATCGAGCAATTTTTTTCTTTTCTTTTGTTTTTCTTTCTTCTTGTTCCGAGTCTTCGTGATGAGCCGTCGTACATTTTCTTTCGCAGCCTTATCCATCCTAGGATGTGATTATGCAAATCCACTGGTCAAGGATCCGAGCCGGATCAAGCCCAAATCATACTGCCTCTTCGCCCTCGTCCTTGCCTGATTTTCTGAACTTCTCCCTGCCGTTGGCAAATGTGGCCCGGACCACTCTGCCATCAAAGGCGCGGCCATCCATGAGCTCGACGCAGGCCTCGGCAGCCTGGGGGGTCTGAAACTTGACGCTCACGATACCGTCCACCTCGAGGTCGTATAGCGTGACACTCGTGACGACGCCGAGCTTCTCGCACTCCTCGCGAATATCGTCCTTGATATCGAGCAGCGCTGCCGGGTCCTCCTCGAGCTCCTTGAGCGTAAACATGTGCCTCAGCACGACGACCTTGTCCTTGCGCACGTTCGTCTCCAGCTGTGCCCCATATGGCTCGTCATCGTCCCAGTCCGCCAGCTTGGCATCCAGCTTTTGTGTCCTCTTGATGATTTTTTGCTTTTCCTGCTCGCGCTCCCTGCGGTCCCTTGCATTTGTATTTGGCGTCGCTGCCCCGCTTCCGTTTGCACTGTTTGTTGCGCTAGCACCGTTGCCGCCGTTCTGAGCTCCGCCTGAGTTCCCCTCTGTCGTCTCGTACTGTGTCTTCTTGTAGCTGCTGTCGGCGGCCTGTACCCTCATCTTACCGGACGGGAGGCCGCTGGCGCTATACCTGAAATGGGTATCATCGAGCAGCATAATGGCCATCTCGACGCTTTGGGGCTTGAAGAAGACGACGAGAGCGTCGCCCTTGAACTTGCCGGCCGCGTCCGTGTACATCTTGATGCGCGGCCGGCCACTGTCAATTTCCTCGGCAACGACGCCGCACTTGCGACTAAAGACGTCGTGCACCTCATCGACGGTCGCATCGGGCGGCAGGCCTGTGACGTAGACGGCCGTGTTTTGTCGGGGCTGTGGCGGTGCCCGTTGCTTCTTGCGTGCCGCCGCTGCCTCCTCTTTGCGTTTGCGCTTGTTGTTATTGTTGTCGCTGGCCTCTGCTTGGTCCTCTGGCGTCCCGCCATACATGCGTTGCTGCGCTTCGATTTCCTCCTCGGTGAGCGCGGGAATCCAGCGCTTCAGCTGTGTGTCAAACTCGAACTCTGTGCCATCATCTTGCACGGCAATGTGCTTGTTGTCGAGCTTGGAAAAGGAAATTCGATCGTCCGACTCGAAGTCGTCCGGGTTCACCGGGAAGGAGAGACTGGGTGCTGCCATGAGGTCTTCTCCAGATTCATTTATATCTTTCAGTGTCGGTCAAGAACTGTGCTGGACTGGGTGAGAGCAGGCAAAGAGGCAGGCCGGGGGTTGGGGAAATATTGGAAAAGTTGAGATGACGAAGATGAAGCTCTAGGCGATAGCTCTAAATGTTGCCTAGTGTCAAGCGGGAAGCCACGCCCTGCCTGCGTAGTGCCTAGGTAGGTGATGGTAGGTGGGTAGGGGCCTACCTCCAGTACCCATTGGCTGCCCTACCAGTGACGTGGGATTTAGGATCGGAAATGTCCGTGCCCACCTGGTAGGAGAAGCAGAACCAGAACCAGAGCCGCGGGCAGCTACCTATGTATGAACCATGGTATTCGCTCAAACTACTAGGTAATATACCCGAAGATACGCAAAATGATGAACTGACACTACAGATATTGTAAATATTAGTGGCGACTAATAAAGAAAATATCGTTGTTGTAAGTGATTATCTGAATAATATTATATATCCAAGTCAACGTGGAGCAAGCCAAATGCCTTGTAGTTCATGCACATATACACAATATCAATAAGATGCTGGTCTGTCTTGTTGGTAGTCTTTGTGAACAATTATTAGCATAAAAAATGAATCTGTCACAAACATGGGATGATTCCAATACTGTGCCACCGTTAGACATGGCCATAACGCGACATAGAAACATACCCCGCACGTCAGCATCCCATGTCCTACCGCTCAAGTGTATGGATACATATATATCAAATAACACTCCATAATCGTGAGGATTGGCCTTCATTCATACAACGTGGCCATCATGACTGCACCTTACGAACTCATATATTATGCAGGTGCTCCTGGTAGGGGCGAACACGTTCGACTCATACTCGAAGAGGCCGGCACCCCGTATCAGGACACTCAATCTCTGCCCTTTGAGAAGTCTCGCGAGACTGTCGTAACCTGGCTTTCGGGAGGAGGTCATGGCAATCCGCCTTACTTTGCCCCTCCTCTCTTCAAGCACGGTGACTTGGTCATCTCCCAAACACCCAACATTCTTTTATACCTCGGACCCAAGCTCGGACTTGCTGGTGACCGAGAGAACGACCTCTACCGAGTCAACGCCCTCGTCCTGACGGCTCTCGATGGCCTCAGCAACGAAGTTCATGATACCCACCATCCTATATCCACAATGCTGTACTACGAGGACCAAAGGGAGGAAAGCAAGCGCAGAAGTAAAGAATTCATCCAGAATCGCCTCCCACTTATCCTGTCGTATTGGCAAAAGGTGCTAGATGCCAGCAGCCAAGAGCGCGGAGAAGGACCCTGGCTGTTGGGAAAGACCTTTACTTACGCCGATCTAGTCTTATTTCAGGTAAGTCTTGTCAAAGATTGCGATTCTCTAAACAGCCTTATACGCTTTGCAATGCCTCGGTCGCTAATTGCAAACCGCCCTCGCCGGAACCAGTGTCTTGATGGTACAAACTACGCTTTTCCCAAAGCCATGAGGCAAGCCAGAGACAGTGGCAAGTTTGACAAGGTATTCGGGCTATGGGAGGCCGTACGAGCTCGACCAAATGTATCAGCGTACCTATCTAGCGATAGGAGACAAAAGTATACGGAGTGGGGAGTTTACCGACACTATGAGAACAATGATTTTACTGCGGAATAGGTCATGCTCCATCTTGATTGAAAACGTAAGATACAGCCTAAGCGAGGCGCTAGTATTCTATCTTTATAATCAGGTAAATAGGATTCTAAAATAAGTCTTACGGGTATTGCCTATATCATTATATAAGTGCCAATCGTACAATACCAGCATATGTCAATTTGCCAGACATCGATTTTGGTGGCACTTCCATAGACAGTCGCCTAAATGTACATGGCTTACATGAGTGGACCATTCTCGTACGGAAGTATATTTGCTCTAGAATACGGCGTCCCGTGATGGGTTCCCAAACGTCCGCTGACTAATCTAACCGCACACGGGCAAGGGTAGATTGATTATAAGGGGCTGTAGTTTTACGCTTAAAAGTTTCCAGCTTTCAGATGATTTGCTGGTTCCTGCTTTTTTCGCTTTAACCTTAAAACCTAGGATTATAAAATTATGGATACACCGCGCCTCCACCTTCGCAAGATTGCCGCCTCAGATTTGGCCGACTTTCACGACATTTGGTCCAACTTGGAGGCAACAAAATGGAGGTGCGTTGTGACCAACGATGGGGATTGGGAGTCGCAATCTTTGCTCACGCTTTTCTTGTCATTGACAGTACGTGCGGACCCAAGAAGACGCTCGCAGAAAGCCAAAGTTGGCTAGATGGTGTACTTCCAGAGAAAAATACCACAGGTGACAACTATGCCGTCTTTGTCCGTGGCGACGAGCAGAAGAAAATGATTGGTATCATGGGCGTCTTTTCTTTCAACCCCGTCGCCGAGCTGGGCTATACCTTTCATCCGGCGGCTTGGGGCAAGGGCTACGCGACGGAAGCGCTGCGGGCCTTTATGAACATCTACTGGGACTCGCGACCGACTGTGGATGTGGTCGAGGCCAAGACTGATGTTGAGAATAAAGGAAGCATCCGAGTATTGACCAAGTGTGGATTCGAGAATGTGGCATTGTTGAAGGACAATGTGACGTTGCCGGCGCTGGGTTTGAGAAGCTCTTACCTATTTAGGATCGCCAGGCCAAGCGAAAGGGCGGACGGGGCCTAAGAAGCAGAGACCTCAGTGGGTGTAGAGATCATATACTACCCAAAGCTCGCGAGTTTGTCTGACTTTCGTACTATGTATTGACAAGTGCCACTACAAATACATATTTAGCATCGCACCCAAGAAAAGTACCCCCACAGAATGCGGCAATGCCGTCGATGCCGTGCGCGATGTGACTGACCAGCCGAGAGAATTTCTAGCCCCTGGGGAAATGATCAATGCTTCTCGTATTGGCAGTATACTACCGACTGCCACCCCTGGAACTGAGCCCCTAGGCCCCACACTCATCTAGAGGGAAGCTCGTATCGCCGACCATGGACTGGAGGATAAAATCAACCACATCTGCCCTCAAAAGTAAATCCATCATGTAGTAGTAGCACCCCGGTATCACTGGCATTCAATCGTTCTGCCAATTCCTCTCGTTTATAAATCGACAAAATGGGCTGCTTTACACTTCTAACCTTGGCCGCCGCCGCATCGGCTAGTGTCATTGAGCTGCCTGTGCACATACAAAACACATATGTGAGTTGCATCACATGTCATCGGCCAGTCCGATGATAGCACCAATGATATTGCACCTTTTTGCTGACCAATGTATGTCACATAGGCCTCAGTAGAATTCCAGGTCGGCACTCCAGGCAAGACGACCCGGCTGCAATTCGACACAGGATCTTCGACGGCATGGATGGTCGGTACCGGCTGCACAGACACCTCGTGTCCCAACTCGAGCGGCTACGACCGCATCGAGTATAACACCTCGGCTTCCTCAACTTCTGTAGACCTGGGCTCGTTTGCGCGGATTCCGTACATTGACGGCGATGCCGTGACGGGAGAGGCCATTCAGGATGTCTTTGTGGATGAAGCCGGCACTCTCGAATGGAATCAGACATTCCTATCCGTGAACCAGAGCAGCTGGCGCTTTACGACGGCCGACGGCCTGCTCGGTCTCGGTTTCTCGTCCATTGCCGAGAATTCAACGTCTTCTCTGGTCGAGACCCTGCTGTGGGACAACCAACTGGACGAAACGCGGTTCTCTCTGTTTTACGGCACCGACCTGAGCGATGCGGGCAAAGACGGCGTCCTGACCATTGGCGGCAGCCACGAGGACACATATGTTGACGGCGAGGTAGCCTACGTCCCGCTGCGCCAGGAGAACCCGTACCAGCTGTGGCGGACGGCGCTGCGATCTGTCAACGTGCTGGCCACCCGCGAGGCCAACTCTACGGTCACGGTGCACAACGGCCAGCTTCCCACGACCAATGACCCGGCCGGCACGTGGCCTAAGTCCAACACGACCTGGTCAATGTACGGCGCCGGCACGGCCGTGTTCGACACTGGCGCCGGCCGCATCTCCGTCCCCGACGAGATCATTGACGCCGTCTACTTCAACCTGGGCTGGAACGTGACCAAGCTCATGAACGGCGAGGAGCGCATGGAGTGCCAGCACCTGAACGCGTCCTGGGCCATCTCCTTTACCCTTGGCGAGGGCGACGAGGCTGATGACAAGACGTTTACGATCCGCGGTGACGAGTTCACCAGACCTGGCGACCAGTGCATGCCCCCGGTCGACAACAGCGGTGGCAATGGTTTTGCGCTCATTGGTGCTGCTTTCCTGCGCCGCCACTACTCCGTCTTCGACTTTGGTGCTACCGAGGTTGCCGATTACCAGCCCAAGATTGGCTTCGGAAGACTCAAGGAGGAATATGATTACATGTATGCATCAACATAATATGTTGATCCAGTAATAAATAATTAAAAAATGTATATATCAGTTCAAAATCAACGATTCTCAGTGTCTAAAGTCATATGATCTGGCTTATGTGAAATAACATTTCTCCCTGATTATTCCTTCCCCTTCCTTGGCCCTTGTTGGTATTCGGCAGCATCGAAAAGGCCATTGCTTTTGGTTTGCCCAGGACACAATGTTTTAATCTATCTATCCTATATGGGCGAAATCAAAGACAACCCGTGCCAAGCTGAATATATGAGCCGATCACGGCGAGTAGGTTACTGCTCTTTCCTGGACTAGCCATTCAAACCTAGAGTTGGTCCAAAAATGAATCATGTGTCGTACAAAAGGACTCCCTCGGATAAGATAATCCTTTATCAACGTAAATGGAATGTGTACGCGTGGTTTCAAATGCTTGACACAAGTAAATCGTCGCGGTATTGTAAGGCCGTGGATAAATTACCATATTCGGACAAGTGGGTACGCAACGTTGGGTTGGAGTTGTGGACATGGGATCTCACTTGACGGGTCAACTCGCGTGGTGCAGATATGTTGTCAATGGATCGGCAGAGCAATGCCTTGAACTTGACTTTTCCTTTATGGGCGTGAGTGATATCGGATCGAAAACTCGTAGACATTTGGGTTGGTTGCACCGCTTTGTACTCGATACCTGCTAGTTCTTAAGTTCTTCAAATCACCCTTACACGCACTACACGCACGCAATAAGCCATGGCCAAAGTCCTCCGCAATGGTCGATTCTTTCTACCACAGTCTGGACGGCAGCAAAATGCTGCTTTCGCAGACTGCATAGTGATCGATCAAAATACCGGAAAGATTCTCCAAGTGGGCTCTGCCGAAGATGCCTCAATAGCTGCGGCGATACGTGCTGGGGCGGACCAGCGCGATATGCAGGGTCGAGTGGTGGTTCCTGGCTTTGTCGACGCCCATATGCATTTACTCATGACTGGCGAGGCCATGAGCAAGCTCGATATCGGCGCCTGTACCAGTCTGGCGGATATACAAGCCACCATACGTGCGTACGCGGCGGCCAACCCGAGTCTCCCGCGGCTGCTCTGCCGTAACTGGTGGCAGTCTTCCACCAACGGGGAGGCCCTGGCAGTGCAGCTCGATGATGTCGATCCCAGGCCGATTTACATTGACGCCAATGATCTGCACTCGGTGTGGTGCAACACGGCGGCGCTCGAGGAGCTGCGACTGGAAAAGTTGCCTGATCCGCCGGGTGGTCGTATTCATCGCTATGATGATGGGAAACCCAGCGGACTACTTTCAGAAGGCGCCGTAATAAGTCTTGTCTGGCCTTTTCTGAACAAGTCTCATTCCCTCGAGTCCAAACTTGCGTACTTGGACACGGCGTTTGAGGCCTACATCTCGGCCGGTTATACTAGCGTAGGGGAGCTGGCCATGGATGAAAGCATGTGGCAGCTTCTGTCCCAATACGAAGCTCGAAAGGGGTCTTTGCCTCTATTCGTTACGGCTTATTGGCTCATCACCCCCCAGGAGTCCTTGGCGGATGCCCTGAAGCAAGTAGATCGGGCTATTGAGCTCTTCACCAAGCCGGGTCACGACCAACAGGACGGCGGTAGACGAAGGATTGGCGGCATCAAGATCATCTGTGACGGAGTGGTCGACAGCTGTACCGCCGCCCTACGCGAGCCGTACTCGCACGACAATAGCAACGTGGAGCCCATGTGGACGGTGGAGAGCCTGGCCGTCGTTCTCAAACACGCCGACGCCGCAGGGCTGCAGTGCGCACTCCACGCCATTGGCGACGAGGCCATCAAGACGGCGCTGGACGCGCTCGAGTTAGTCGGGAATCCGTCGGGTCGCCATCGCATCGAGCACCTCGAGCTGTGTTCGCCCGAGGATGCGCAGCGGCTCGGCCCCCTGGGCGTCATTGCCTCGATACAGCCCGTCCACAGCGACCCGGCCGGACTGACTGCATGGCCAAAATTGATTGGCGCGGGACGATGCCGCCACATTTTTCCTTATGCTTCCTTTGCAAACTTTGGTGCCATCCTGGCCATGGGCAGCGATTGTCCGACGGCGCCGCACAATCCGCTGGCCAACATGTATGTTGCTACTAATAGGCGATCGGCGCGCAAGCCGGAGCTCGAGGACAAGGTGGCGCCCGAGTTTGCGTTGAAGCTGGCCGATGCCGTGACGGCGGCGACAATGGGCGCGGCACATGCGTGCTTCACCGACGGGCGGACTGGGAGACTCGAGGCCGGCTACATGGCGGACCTGGCGGTTGTGGATATGGATTGGGATCCCCAAATGCTGCTCAAGGCCACAGTGGTAGAAACTTGGTCGCGCGGACAAAGGATCTTTGGAAAGTCGTAGAAGGGCGATGGAGGGCTCATGGATTCTATAGTCAATAGGCGAAGGTTATATGAAACCTATTATGCTTTATAGACGTGCTTGCGACTGTTCAAAATGCAATCATTTGGGCGCCGTCGAGATGAGACAGATCCTTGTGATTTCCCTGTGACAAAAATTGGGAAATAAAATTTTTGTTGACCGAAAATGTTAAAATACATAAACATCACTTCCTGAAACTTATTGTCATTGTTGACTTTCCCAACACGCAGTAAATAAATTGATGAATGCAGAAACAATTTCTGAAGTCTGCCATTTTCTGAATCCAGTCATTTGGTAGTGCGCCCAAATTCTGCATATCACCGTCGATTCCCAGCAACCTCACTGCACAAACGGCGGTATAGAGGCGCCGTAGCTGCCCTCCACCTTTTGCCACAAATGATGTAAGGAATACAGAAGACGGCTAGGAAGAGAGATATGAACCCCGAAAGGATGAACATGTTACTGACACTCATGGTGGCAAGCCATGGAGTAATGGAGAATGGGCCTGGGATACTGATGGAGTTTCGAATAAAGGTGATGAGGACGAAAATCTCGGGAACAAGCTAGAGTCAAGGGACGGGTCAGCAACTCGGTGTAATACGAAGACCTAAGACTCGGGATTGGGAATGGAATAACAGTGGTTAGACTGAAGAAAACGTACCTCGGGATACGCATCCAAAATCATGGTAAAGCAGATATCGCCGGTCGCGCCCATACCAAACCCAAATAAGGCGCATCCGATGCTAGGATAGATCCAATGCATTCCCTATACAAACGTTAATGCTAATCAACACGACGAGCTCGTTCCAAGTCAATAGCTACCTCATCTGCGGTGATGCCAAACATGATCAAGCCAGCAGTGAGGCACACAGTCTGGAAAGGAAACAGGTACAAACGCATCTCGGGCTCAAAGATACCGTGATTGCGCTTGGCGAAGCGGATAACTGCCCAGTCGAGCAACGGACCACCGTAAATGCTGCCAAATATCGCGCCGATGAATGGCCCCGTGAACATGTACCCAAGCGCGGCAGAGTCAAACTCGTACGGGGGAGCGGAGAAAATGATGGATATCATGGACGAGACCACCACGAGCCAACAGACGCAAGAGGCAAACTGCACAGCCGTGAAGATGACATGCGGAAGGCAAATGGTATAGATTGGGTAGTAAATCGTCTTTATTAGCGGCTCGTCCGTGGTAGTGAAAAGGCGCATGCGCTGTCTCCACGAGGTGGGCTGTTGAGTACGCACGGCTCGGTCTGCGTTTGGGGCGTTATTGTCTTCGTGGTTCTTGGCTTGTTCGAGATCTTTATCATGAACGGCATTCGAGTGTTGTTGGGAAGTTTTCGTCGGTAGATCTGTTGGATGGCTCTGATCATGTCTCTCTGTAGCTGTGGTGGCATCCTCAATCACTGGAATGTACTTGGTTTCTTCGAGTAGTGGTATAAAAATGAGAGTAAGTATCGATAGAGATATAGCCAATGCGATGTAGGATTCACGCCAGCCCGAGATGGAGGCTTGGTAGCCAGCAACCATGGGCGTTAGGAAACTGCCTATCATGATAGCAAATAGGTATATCGAGTTCGCGGTCGCTCGTTGGTGTAGGAAGAACAAATCTGTAATCTGTTTCCGGGTTGGTCAACAGCGGGAAAAGGAAAAAGAG